GTTTTGTTGATTACCAGAAAGCGTTCGATAGAATAAAACATAACGAACTGATGAAAATATTAAATTCAATTGGTCTAGACAGCAGAGATCGCCGTATCATAAACAATATCTATTACGAACAAACTGCAGCTGTTAGAGTTGGGGATCAGTTAACAAACGATATAAAGATAAAATGAGGTGTACGATAGGAATATATATTGTCCCCATTATTGTTCAATACATATGCAGAGCACATTATGAACCTAGCGCTAACGGACATAGACGAGGGAATACTTGTAAACGGAGAACGATTGAACAACATAAGATACGCTAATGATACTGTCATTTTTGCAGACAGTCTTGAAGGTCTGCAGACACTTGTCTCCAGGGTGGCAGAAGTAAGTAGCAGATTTGGGCTTGATTTTAACATCAAAAAACCAAATACATGGTTATAAGCAAAATTAGGACACCACCTGGTCAATTACTAGTTAACCAACAACCTTTAACACAAATCACCAACTTTTGTTATCTGATATTGTTCTGAAGCTATTTTCTTGTGGCATTGTAAATTAGTTACTGTTAAACTGGGAATAAGCCACAATTAAAGATAAAAATACGTTTATTGACGTTTCAATTTCCACTTCGTTTTTCCACATTTTGAGAACGATTTCCGAAGTGGAAATTGAAACGTCAATAAACGTATTTTTATCTTTAATTGTGGCTTATTCCCAGTTTAACAGTAACTAATTTTGTTATCTGGGTGCAAACTTAAATGAACAGTGGGACCAATCGACGGAAATTAAGATAAGGATCGAGAAGGCAAGATCAGCTTTCGTCAAAATGAAAAAAATCTTTAACAGCCACGACATAAAATTGGAAATAAAAGTTCGTTTACTAAAATGCTACGTATTTTCCGTTCTTTTATATGGCGTGAAGTCATGGACCTTAACTGAAGCATCACTGAAGAGACTCGAAGCATTTGAGATGTGGTGCTATAGACGCATGTTGCGGATTTCCTGGATAGACAGAGTTACTAACGAAGAAGTACTACATAGAATGGGTAAAGTGCGCGAACTAGTCGTAACCATAAAACGTCGCAAACTAGAATACCTGGGCCATATAATGCGCAATGAACAACGATATAACCTACTTCGGACCATACTTCAAGGTAAAGTGCATGGGAAAAGAGGTTCAGGACGGAGAAGAATATCCTGGCTGCATAACCTGCGAAAATGGTTTAACTTAACCATTCCAGGGTTATGGAATGGTGTCCAACATCCGTAACGGATAGGCACCATAAGAAGAAGAAATAAGTTGAAGGGTACAGGTCCAAAAGGGAGTAAGTCGAAATTTTTCATAAATCGACCAAGTGGTGTCATATTGTAGCAATTTTAACATAGAAGTGGTCAGCGGCTTGTTACACGTCCTAAAAGAGACTACTTCCCGTGAAATGCCGATTATAATTTACGCATTCACCGCCAATAGGGAACAACTCGTCATCAGACAAGTCCTAAAAGGGTAAAGTCCATATTAACAGCTGATAGACGTTAATCTAATAGGCGCAGCTTAGAGTTAGGTTCGTCGGTTAAGCTAGTGTTTTCATTGTGTTCCAAGTGATTTATGAATACAGAAAACAATAGTTGTGGAAATGAGACTGAAGTAGTACCTAGACAGAAAAAAAAGAGGAAAAAACACCGCAGAATGAGAGATGTCATGAAAAAAATTAACTGCTGAGTCACAAGGTAGGTGCAACCTGTAATTGTCGTAAACAATATTTTCAAAATGTGCCTGAAGAAACAGGAAAAACTGTACTCAAGAATTTTAACACAATGGCTTCTATTAATGAGCAGAACTCATATTTATGTGGATTGATTACAGTACTCCCCATTCGCCGAAGAAGGCCTAGGAAAGATGAAGACGAAGCAAGTCTGGGAAGTGCTGAATATTGTCATTACATTATATTATATTAAGAGGGTACGTTTTAGCACTGATTACAGCTTAAAAGAAATAATTATTTGTAGAAAAGCTTTTATGTCTATTCGTGGAATAAAGAAAACAATTAGAGATATGTATTACAACATTCACTAAAAATGACTGGAGTCGCCCCTAAAGCTAAAAGGGGAGAAAATAAAAACCGTCCTAGAAAATTGGAATCCCACGTTTTTGCAGCAATATACGAACATATAAAGTCATTTAAAGGCAGGAAAAGCGACTACAGTTTGAATAATAGTAAAAAATTATACTTACCTGAAGACTTAAGCACAAAAAAGATGTTCAAAATGTTTTGATAGTTGAAACCTTTTATGAAAATATCTTACGAGTCTTACAGAACAGTCTTATACAAAATTGAACATGCCTTTGGATATCCCAGAACCGATACATGTAGTTCCAGTTATGAGTTTCTTATAAAAATAAAATCTGTTCAGTTTTAAGCAGTTTTAAGCATGTTTTAAACAGTTTCGATATTGCTCAAAATGAATGCTTGCAAAATGAAATACGCCAGCTTACGATACAAAATGCTGTACACAAAAGAAAGGTTGAGGAATTTTACAGTAGAAAAAGGGCTGCAAAGGAAAAAAGTCAAACCTGTGTGACTCAAGAAGCTATTTGTCTCAATTTTGAAAAAAATGTCAGTGTCACAAACATAATAACAAACGATGTTTACTGTACGGGGCAGCTGAACGTCTATGCCTTTACTGTCCACATTCTATCTACAGCAAAAAGTTTGTTTTACATTTAGCCGGAAACATTTGACAAAAAGGGAAGCGACGATGTATGCTCAGTGCTTAATGACCTTCTATGGAATTTTTTCGATATACAAGTAAGATCGCTTGAAATATTCTGTTTCCATATATCCTGTTCACACCATGTTTCGTTTTTTGCATTATATTGTCCACAATACACTTGATTATGTTAAAGTCACTTTCCCTATTCGTGGGCATTCCTACATGGAACCGAACAAAAATATGAGCTTAATGAACTCTAAACGAGCTGAGATTCCGTCAGATTGTTGGATTACATTGATGAAACAGATTATTTGAAGAAATGTCCTTTCAGTTCCCGTCCAATTCGAGAATTAGAAATACATCAAGAACATCGTAGACTAATATATCACCGGGAGTCCTATAATGGAGCATGGAAGTAACAGTCAAGGAAAAAGAAAGTAAGCGAAAGGTACCTACTTTCGCTTACGTGCTACTACAAAATGAATTTGAACTTCCTCCGTATTCTAATTCAGGTATAAAAAATATTAATATCTTGGAATACTTGGAATATTATTAAGCAACATTATTTTTAGGTTTGATACCAATCTCGGCTAAAAAAGTTAAATGCATACAAGATTTGAAACCATTCTGGTGGTGAGCAAAACAATATTTTGATACTCATTTAACTGGTTTTTTTTGGACTTGGCTCTTAGGCTAATAATGTTTGGTAGTTTGACCAATTAAAGCTTATGTTCTATTTTGTATAATATTAATATAAGTTTAATTTCTTGTGTGTGTCTCATTAATTACCCAAGTAACTGATCTAATCAACAGGGTTCATGATAACCATCAATAATGTATCAATAACTGGTTTTAAAATTTAAACTTCGTTTTGCACGAAATAAACATTTAGTAACTTAGCTCTTTATGGACCTGTATCCTTCAGTTGAAATTAAATGTATCAAAGACTAAAGCTTTAATTATAACCAGTAGATAAAAGTATAGCAAAATCAATATGAATAACATTAATTTATCCATAAATAGTGAAAAGATTGAAATAACAACTATTAAATACTTAGGATTTCAGTTTGATAACATTCTTTCATTGAAAGATCATTTTGTTTGTACCTATACACAAAAAAAATCAGCAAGAAATTATAAGAAATTAAATCCCAAATTCTTCTAAGATTGGCTTACCATGTCTACAGGATACCTAATAATTGAATTGCAAAGTTAGTCTGGGAGAGGATCCCGACAGGAAAAAGGTTTTAAGGACACCAACGAAGGCGATGGGGAGAAAACATATGGTTAAATTTAAAAACAATGTGGCTACCCACCGACCCAACTATCATAGACGATCGCGTGAGATGGAATCAAGATGTGCAGTTGGCTAAAACTCACCCCGGGTTTTAATGCTACGAGAAGGAGATCTATATCCAACAGTGGGCAAGAGAAGATTAAATGATAAAGAAGATTATATTATCAGAAATATTATCTGACAAAAGAAGAATATAGTGATCAACAATAGGACTTGCCCATTGGCTATGACTTACTTTTCTTAAAGTCCCTATATCTTTGTTTTTTATTGTTTAACGACTTTATGCAAGAATTGGTTTTTGTTAGTATACTCTCTACTAAGGCATGTTTTGTGATACCCACCTCTTTATATGAGTATCCAACAGATCAAATATTTACCACATCTAGGTAATTACTGATCTTATTTTGACATGCAGAGTCTTATATGTACCTAATCAGAAGGAATCTAAATTTGCGTCATAAATATTTTCATTCTTATTATTGACCAGTAAGTAACTATCTGAGTTTACAAAAACATACACACAGTTCGTTAGAAAGTTCAGTTTGCTTCCGTAAATATAGTGTATATAATAGCGTGGAAAATTTTAAAATAACATCGGTACATTGTATATATATTAAATGTTTGTACATAGAATTTTGAGTGTTGCTTTGTTTGTGAAATAATCCAATAAAGTGAAAATGCATGTTTTTTGGTAAGATAAATATCTAATCTTAGTATTTTGGTAATTAGAATTTTAAAAGAACACAGTACCAGATTTAAAGATTTTTCTTTTCAAAATATTTAAAATAAACCATATACTTGTCCTAATTTCTTTCTTTAATATAACTGCTTAATTAACTGAGCTTGTTAGTATTTTATAAATGTTTTCGTACTAGTAGTTTGTATTTAATATCATTTAAACGGAAATATTAAATTTATTATTTTGAAATTAATTTTGTATCTTAGTTAACGTTTGACGCTTAAGTGTGTTTGTTGGGTGTTAAAAACGTTCGTGATTAGCTATCATGGCTATTTACAATTTTTTAATTGCAGCGCGAAATAAATTTGTAGTATTGCTGTTAAACAATGTCCGCAAAATGTTTAGGTAAGAAATTATATTTTAGGGGGTTTGACAGTTGAAATGTATAGTATGAGATACTACAAAAAGACACTCATCTAGGGATTCATCAATTTTCTAGTAGAACTATTTTTAAATCAAAACGTCAAACTCATTATTTTGCTCATAACTTGTAAAACTTCTCTATTTAGAGATTTGACGTCAACAGGCAACTTTTTTGGAAAAAAGATACACAAAATGAGATATGCTAAATATAAATCAGTTAATAAACAAAGTTATTGCAAAATGAACAACAAAATCGCTGTTTTTGAATATTGTTAGGAACTTTTTTATTATTTATTAAAACTTATTTAAATGTACTTGAACTTGAGGGCCTTACCGTTTTTAAATCGTGTTCAAAAGTTGGGTCAGATCGGTTGAATAGTTTTTGAGAACTTTAATTTGTTTATAAGATTTTTTGAAAAATGAGCTAATTTCTAAGTCTGGTCCAGATAATTTGACTAAATGGTTCAGGTTCAGGACCCTAAAAAAAGGTTCCTACGACCCTTAGGCGCTATGATAGCCGTTTAAATAAGGATTACGTTAATAAACATCCTCTAAGGGGTGCAATTAACCAATCTTTTATAAGAAAAGTTTTCAACAACATTTTTGACAAATAAAATTACTGAACAGTTTTTAAACAGGAGTAAACAAATAGTACTTTGCGTTTCGACTTATGTAAAATGAGCCAACTGAAGAGCCAACCGCGCTCTTCAAAAAATCCAAGAGAGTTTCAAAATAGAGCGCTCAGAAAAAAAATGAAATATCGCGGGTTCTACTGGACCAAATTTGCTGTTTCTTTTTTTAATCTGGGATACAACATAAAATAATAACAATATCGAAGAAATAGTCAATAGTATAAAAGCCCATATTAATTAAGTTCTTGTCAGACTAGCACACTACACTTTACGCGAAGTGAAATATTTGAACCAAAAACTAAATATAAAAATAATGCATTCGTTATTTTCGGAAAAATTTCCAGATGTCCCAGTTAAATATGAATTTTATAGAACTGTCGTCACCGACTTCTATCAGTTACGCTTCGGCAGGCTTCAGATTGACACCTGTAGCAAATGCGAAGAACTAGATTTAAAAATAAAGTTCCAGTATTTGAATGATAATGCTGAGGGCAGCAATGGCTAAAAAGATGGTGCATGTACGTTGATCAAAAAAGTTTTTTACTAAATAGTTTGAATAAGTTAGAGTTCCTTACCAAAGTGGATCGATCGGTAGGAGGAATATGCATTGACTGTATGCAAAATATATTTCTACCAGTTACAGCTTTCCAGGATACATTTTACCTAATTCAACTTACAGTCAATGTGTTTAACATACACGATGTTAAAACCGGTAAAAGCGACTTCTACGTATATCACGAAGGATTAGCAAAAATAGCCCTAATGAGGTGTGTGGTAAATAATCCTTCATAACGAATTATATTAAAACATATGTATCTGAGGAAGTGAAACACTTTCAAACTTTTTCTGATGGAGCTGGAGCCCAAAACAAAAACCACATAGTCTTAAAATTCGCCAGAGCCTTAACAGACCTCAGAAGATTTGAAACAGTGAACCAGTACTACCCTATTCGTGGTCACTCGTTCATGCCTTTTGACCGTACCTTTGCTGTAGCAAAGAGAATAATAAAAAAGGCTGACAGGATTTACACATTAAAAGAGTATGTAGAATTAAACTGCTAGTACTAAAAGAACTATCACTTGTACATCTGGTCGAGAATGATAATAGTATTATCAAAGATTATAAGTCCTGGTGAACTAGAGATTACAATAGAAATGTTTTATATCACATGGATCACTTGGTAGGCATATTCCCATAGAACAAAAAGTTTTTTTTTCTATCAGCAAGCTCATGCACTTTTCTTGTAACTCTCAGGAAAAAGGTCAAATTGTTGCTCATGAATTTATTGATGGAATTGTTTACCATACATTTGATGTTTGTACACGCACCAAAGTAGAGTCACTACCTGTTAAACTTGGCCTATTCTCAAGTCAGAGTTCTGATTAAGAAAAATAAATTAGAATATCTATTGAAATTTGCACTCTACTTGGATGAGAACATTCCTGGATGCAAGATATTTTTTGATTCCTTATTTACGTGGCCAACTGCAGAAGGTGAAGATGAATCTGAAGAACTTTGATTTATTCATTTTTTCATTTATTCATTTATTATTCATTTTTATCTTGGTATTTTGTGTTGAATTGTTTATATCATAATAAATAATTCTAAAATAATAATCTTGTCTAAAAACCGGATATGTCCGGTATATATTGTATAAATATTTATTTTCTGTCCTCTGATAGTTGCCTTCATTAAATGTTGTATCAATATTTATCAGTAATGGATTGCTCTCTACAGTGGTAATTAAAATTGTGTTAAATACTGGATAGTTTTCAATAGAGAAAGGTTTTTCTTATTTACCGCTAACTTGATTTTTGTGACATGTTCGTTTTCTCTTCCCACTCATTCAATTAAAAGAATGGGTTGATCTAAAGTTATTGTTAAAAACTCTTCGGGATCTTGTAAAAAGGAGTCAATTCAGCCCTTAATCCTGTTAACTAACGTTCGAGTGATTTAAAAATCATTTTTTTTTTAAATTGTAATTTAAAAATTGTAGGACATTTTTGAAGTTGTGTTTTTTACCAGCTTCCAAATATTTTGAACTAAATTCTATGGAGTTATTGTAAATGTTTGTAAGCTTACGGGAGAGCGCTCACCAAACTGGCGTGGCAAGTGGCAAGTAGCAAGTAGCACGCGTCTAGCATGTTACTTAAAATTTAACCAATGGAAACGAATTGCGTCCACTGTTGGACATAATCCTCCTACATACATCTCCTAGAAATTCTATTTAGCGCAAGTTGCATCTAGTTATGCACTATTCTTCGTATGTTGTCTGTTTGTCGCGTAAGTGCTCTTCCTCGACTTCTCTCTTATCTTAACGGGGTCTTCATTTAACAATATCTTAAGTTCATCTATCATCACGAGGCCGTGCTACATATCCTGCAAATCTCTAATTTCCATTTTTCTTTGTGCGATTCTCAGTTTATTATCATTAATTTTAAAGAGCAATGATGTTTCAAATCTATATGGTATAACTGAAAGCGCGCGTGGAATAACCTTTCCCTTGAGCCCCACAAAGATTTCATTATTGAATGTGTCCTTCAAAAGCTTCAATCTGTCGAATACAGCTCGACCTAGACCAGTTCTTCTTTGTATTTCTTGCACATGGTTGTCTCTGATGATTCTTCCTTCGATGATCAACTGCGTCAAAAATTTTGTTTTACTTTTGTTTATTTGCAATCCCACTTGTAAATCATTGGCAATGAGGACAATATACTTCAGAAAGTATACTTCAGAACTGCTGGGAAGACTCTATTAATGACATCGTGTCCCTTTGTCTAACACAACTCCCCAATGGGAGCTCGTTAGTTTTTTTCATCGAGTTTCACACTTGCTGTTGATTTTTTATAGACGTTATAAATTAAGCAGGTGTAGCTTTACACGACACTGCATTAAGCACTGATCCTATCATATGGAAATATACTAGCAATAGTGGACGGTTGTACTCTATAGTTTTCTCTATTATGGTTTCTGAACTCGGGTTAATAATTACCCTTTTTTCCATCCCTTCGGATGATCTCCGTATCTTTTGTTGGCTTTTTAAAGCTTTCGGTAGAATTTTTGACTGTTGTAAGAATTTCATTTCTGTTAGATTTAGTTTGACTGTTTACGTTTTTCATCTTTATAATTTCTTTTCTGTTGCTATTTAACTTTCCATAACTTTAATTCTTTTATTTTATTCGATTGTTTGCTATATCTGCTCTTTATTGTAGTATCTATTGTCATTCCGGACACTTCGGGAAATCTATTGAGGTACTAGGTTGTTGTGATTCAACTCTTTTCGCTGTTCTAATAATGCTTTGGTGTGGGAGCGGATTTTATTCTCTTTGTCTGGCTTTGGGCAGTATTTGTTTGTTGCCTTTATTAGTGTTTCTGTTGGTGTCTTGTTTAACTTGTTAATGCCTTGCTAGTATTTGTATTTTTTACTGCTTCTTCTTCTCATTGCGCCGTCTGCTTTCGAAGGTTGGTGATCCAAATGGCAATTTTAGCTTTGGAAACTGCTGCACGAAAGATTTCTGTGGATGAGCTGTCAATCCATCTCCTCAGGTCTTTCAGACACGAGTTCTGGAGTCTTCCAACTGATATTTTGCCCTGCAGTTTACCTTCCAATATGATTTAAAGTAATGTATATCTTTCACCGCTCAACACATGAACCAAGTATTGCATTTTTCCCTCTTTGATGATGCTGAGTAATTCTTTTTGTTTACTCATGCGTCCTCACCATTAGTAACTTTTGTATCCATGGAATTCTCAACATCCGTCTGTACATATACATTTCAAAGGCATCTAATCTTTTTTCTGTTTTCAACTTTCACAGCGATACAGCAAAACACAGAAAACGTAACATCTGATCATTCGAATTTTGAGCTCTGGACTAAGATCTGATCTTGTAAAAAATAATTTCATGTTTATGAGCGTTATCCTCTCTTGTTCGATTGTTGACAGGATTTCTTTTTTTGAGTTACACCGGCTGTTGATATTTTCTCCCAAATATTTTATGGAAGTTCTATTATTTGTTCCTTGCCGTATAAATGTACGTTTGTTGGTATCTTTGAAAATATTAGAATTTAAGTTTTGGAAACATTTAGATGTAAACTGATCATTTTGCTATGACAAACTACCGCATGTATTATATTTTGTAATTCTTGTGCGTTGCTTGCCATTAGGACGGTATCATCAGCTTACCTGATGTTGTCTATGCTGATTTCGTTAATCTTGATTACACCTTGAACTTTATCTAATACGTTTTTGAATATAGATTCAGTTACAGTTTTTAAGAACTTTTCTGAGTTTTCTGGATTATGTTATGTTTTCCTTGTCGACTTTTATATTATTAGGAATTTTTTCTTC